AATAGAGTTTTTTAAATCTCATAAACCAGCCCCGACTCACTTTAAACTCTACATCTTTCTCAGCTGGGTATTTTTTGTTCAAGTCCTCAAAAGACAATGCTTTCACTTGAATTTCTTGATTAATAGCAGCATACTGATGATTCAAACCTATCAATCCAAAGAGAAAGAAGTTGTTCTATCTCTTCAATGATTTTTCCTCTTTTCTTACTGATGCATCAGATTTGATATGTGCCAAAATCTTATTCTTGTTGTGAACAATCACCAATACAGTCGTCCGACTCATTCCAAAAGATAGAGCAAACGATATAGGCATATAACCTTATCACCTTTTTCATGGTATTTTATCATAGTAAGTTTATCATCCAGTGTTATAGCATGATGCTTAGCACTTGCACTAGAAATTTTCTTAGGAGCCATTGGGGCAAAATATAAAGTCACAAAATGAATGAGAATGAGAGAGTAGGTGATAAGCAGACGTATACTGTGCATATGCCTAAACTGGTCTTCAATTTTGTGGGAATCATGAGTGGTGCTGATGACGCTGCCAAATGGAAGATATTGTAACTATCATTTGCGCAAAGAAAAAAAAATGCCACATTTGCGCAAAGAAAAAAGACTAGATTCTAGACCAGTTCACAGACAACAACATTAATTCTTCATTAAATTTTAACCAAACACTTCAGCTTGAAATTATAGCAGTTATTTAATAGTTACAATTGATGGCAAAGACATGCTTGATAAATATATTGCTCAGCTGTTGTAATATCTTAAATAAATTATTAAAAAAACTTTTTGGTCTCATTGAAATTATGGGCTTACTTTAAATACTGAAAAAAGGTTTTACTAAAAATTTTAAATGTGTGCACAAGCTTTTATCCTTTAAAATTTTAATATGATGATCTAGGACAAAGATTTTATCATGGTGAACTCTTCATGATCTATATCAAAGGGGGGGAAAAAACAGTTCAAACTTTACAAACAGAATAGTTAAGAATTACGTATTTTTTTTTTTTCAAAAATGTAAGAAAAGTGGACAATACCATGTAGTAGATTATAACAAACATGGATATGTTAAAAGAAATCTTAAAGATGATCCATTTATATTGAAGCCAAAACGTGAGAGCAATTAACATAAGCTGGTGGCAAGTGATTTTCTACACTTGATCTGGATATTTTTAAGTAGGTTAGCTATTATTCTCAAGTAATACCATCATTTAATTGCTCTCAAATACAAATGGTATTCAGTGAAAAATTCCCAGCACAAAAATTTTAAAGACAAACAAAATTTAATTTAGTATTAATTCCAATAATTGAGAAACATCTGAGTAATACTAATTCCCATCCCAAAACAGCAAGTCACAGCATACATTTGTTTGTTGTTTTTTTTTGGTAAATGCATATTAAACTTAACTTTTGGTCAGAAGTGCAAACAGAATGTTGAAGTGCTTAGCATCAATTTCATAAGAGTTTTGCAGAGTTTGAAAAATCTGCACTTAAACTCATGGCTTTTATCATTTATCTCAAATTTCATACAATTACCTCAAATTTCAAAAATTTTATTATGTGAGATTGTATTAACCGTGGTTTCATATTACCATCTATTTTAATAAACTTTCAGAATTTCAAACACAATTTTGATTACTGTAGATTTAAAAATTAACTGGCTGATGACCAAAAAAAGCAAATCTGAACTATGTACATAAATAGTATTTGCATGTAAATAATCTTTACAAGCAACCAGCGTTCTAATTAAATGTGATTATATAAATAAAATGTAAAAATCTGTATAAAGAAACAATATGAATAAAGACAAGGAAAACTTATCTTAGCTGATGAGTTTGGTCCTCTGAGTGAGTTTATCAAGGCAAATGCAAGGATTTTATTTTGTAACAGGTGTTTATATACAAGAGCAAAATTGTTATTGGTTTTTCAAAGATTTTACATGTACCTAGCAATCTTGCTCATAAATATTCATCAAGCTAATTATGGAAGACACAAAGTTACATAATTCAATGTCAAATAACCAAAAGTGAGCAAGTAATGTTTTTGAAAAATCTTTTTTATACAAATTAGTATTTAAATTATTTTTTGATTTGAGATTAATGTGTGTTATGTTACAGAATAAAATCTTTGCATTTATGTTGATAGATAAAGTCCCTCAGAGGGCAAAACATGTTGGCTAAGATAATTATGTTCGTGTGCGTGCGTGTGTATATATATATATATATATATATTTTATATATAAAAACACACAAATCCCCCCCATTAAATGCGTTCTCAATTAGTGCACACAAAATATCCTTCAGTTTAATCATAGTAATTGAAAATTGATTTTTTTTTTTATATAGTTACTGATTAAAAATTTCTAAAATTTGAAAAGCAGTAACTATTGTTTGTCAAGTATTAAACTTTCTAAGTAATAATAATGTCAAAAAAAAAAAAAAAAAAAAAAAAAAAAAAAAAAAAAAAAAAAAAATAAAAAAAGAAATAGTTAAAATAGATAAATTTTATAATACAGATAATAAAATACATATTCTCTATTAAATTTTTTTTTTATTTTTTTAAAAAAAAAAAGAATTTAATTAGATACAGACACTAGAGAGAAGAGAAGAGAGAGAGAGAGAGAGAGAGAAAGAGAGAGAGAGAGAGAGAAAAAAGAGAAAAAAAATATATTTATATATATATATATATATAAACTACCTAACCAGAGAATGTTGTGTGTATAAGTTTACAAACAAATGAGGATATCAAAGGAAAAATAAACTATAGCTACAAATGAAATATTACAGATGGTTTTTATATGATCTGAGAGGCAATTAATATTTTGCTTTGGGAGAGTGGTTCACCTCATTAGTCAATGTTCTTAGTTAATTACCATGGTATGATATGGAGGAGGCATTAAGACATCTGGCAATTAGAGAGACTAAAGAAAGTGGATTCATACCTTTTCCATACTAGTATAAAGTGAATAGTTGGTTTTAGCTGGAAGTTTTGTTAGCTGATGTTTTACATTATCAACAATTTTACCACACTGCAACTCTACTGTTGATCCTCCAATGCAAATTTATTTGGCTTTAAGAAGCAGGTAGCAATCTAATTCCCAACAAATTCATGTCATAACTAATGTTAATTTATATTCAGGTGTTTCATATTTAGTCTATTGGATTAGCTTTTTTTTTTTTTTTTTTTTTTGAGATATTTATTTTCTTTTTATCAGACAAGTATAAATTATAATCCCATGACAACTTTTTATACTACTCCACCCTCAATGATGAAGATATAACTATCAGGTCAACCCATAAGTTCTGTCTGAATTTTGAATAAAGAAAACAAGTGACCAAATGTTACATTTAATTACAGATTCAATCAACAATGTATTTTCCATGATTATCTATGACTTCCTTCCATCTATTAACAAGCTTACTAATTCCATTACTGTAAAATTCTTTTGGCTTTGATTCGAAGAACTCACAAATGTCAGTTTTAACCTCTTCCTGTGTTACAAAAGCTGTTTCTTCCAAATGATTCTGTAAGCTATGAAACAAATGGTAGTCTGAAGGAGCAAGATCAGGAGAATAAGGTGGATGAGGAATTTTCTCCCAACCAAGTTCTTTGATCTTTTGTGACACGATTCTTGCTGTGTGGGGTTGCACATTGTCCTGATGAAACATCACCTCCTTTCAATTCACTAGAGCAGGTCTTTTTTTCATCAAAGCTTGGTTCAAATGCTCTAATTGCTGACAGTATATTTGAGCATTAATTGTTGCATTAGGTGGTAAGAATTCAAAGTGGATTATTACTTGGCGATCCCACCAGATTGAAAGAAGAACATTCTGCCCATGAAGTTCCCTTCTCGGCTGTGGCCCTTCCCCTTTACCAAGCCACTGTCTATGATGTTTAATATTTCAATAAAAGATTTATTTTTTGTCACCAGTCACAAGTCTATCCAAAAAAGATGAAACAAGTTGGCGAGAATGGAGAGAAGAGCAGATGTCAACTCGGGATTTGAGGTTTTCAGACAATTCATGAGGCACCCATTTTCCAAGTTTAGGAACTTTTCCAAGTTGTCAAAGATGACGATGAACAGTATGGTTTGAAACGAGAACCACTGCCAATTCCTCAACTGATAAAGCAGGATTTTCTTCAAGGGCTGTTTCAAGAAGATTTTCATCAAACTCAACTGGACGTCCGGTTCGATCTTCATCTTCAAGGGTGAAATCTCCACCTCTGAATTATGCAAACCATCTTCTGCAAGTTCTTTCATTCACACATTCCTCTCCATAAACTGAGTGAATGTTTCTAGCCACTTCGGCTGCTGAGTTTCTTTTCTTGAACTCAAAGCATTATGTGCCTCAAATGATTCTTGGGTACTTCCATGTTAGCAGGGTTTTAATCAAACAAAATTTAATTTTATTGTTATCTGAATTAAAATTTGATCAGTTTAAATGCATCTAAACATAAAAATAATGTTCAGCTCCATTAGACATTATAAAATACTCTTTAAATTTCGTTCATTTTAACAAAAAGTTAAAATTCGAACAGAACTTATGGGATGACCTGATGGTTTCTCAATGAAGCATTTTTTGAGGCTAAAAGAAACCAATCCTTTGCAAACATTGCTAGCCACAGTAATCTCAGTCCTGTGAACTGATTTATTTTTTATTTTTCATTACAAGCATTCACAGAACATAATTATACTATTGTCCATATTGCTATACTAGGAGATCAGTTTGTATAATTTGTTTCTATTTGATCCTAACTTTTAAAGCAAAATACAAAAAAAAAAAAAAAATTTTAGGCCCTATATTTGAACCTCTCCATCCCACAAAAGAAAAATAATTTTTTAAAAATAAAGCAATCTGGATAATTATCAGAAAATTGAAAATGAAAGAAAATGCATAACTTTCAGCATATGAAAGATAATATGAACAGACACATTTCAACGTTCAAAAGAGAAATGCTTGTAATGTTGCATTAGTAAATAAATGGAGTTAACTTACACGGTAGGTATGTATTCTCCAGGAAAAGCATTAGTTGTGTAACTAATCAGCAAACAGGTCTTACCAACAGCACTAGCAAAAGAAAGAAAATCAGATGAGAAATACAAATATGGAAATTAATATTTTGTTCAGACAATAATAAAAAAAAAATGCAAAAGATTTACAAATCAATCATTATAAATTACCTTAAATTTACCAGTAGGCTTTTGACTACTGAAATGTAACAACTAAAAATTGCATGCAGGGGGTTCTTGATTTACGGTAGAGAAACAAAAAACAAACAACGGGGAACACAGGGAAAAAACAAGGTGAGGACATATGAAATTAAATTGTTTTAAGCAGCTTGTATATTTATTGCTAGTGATGTCATTGGCTCTCAGTAGAGGAGATAAATTGTAAGATCTGCAGTACTTGGAAGCAGCAGCAGCAGATCTGGGAAGAAAACAAACATGTTTTTTTTTTTTTTATCAGGAATTCTTATAGTTTAACAAGAAAGTATTGTTATTTCTTACAGGAAAACTCACTATGTATACACATGTACAGATTTTAAGTGACAGTCAAATGACTTAAGCCAAGAAACCAGTCAATGTTCATTGGAGTTTCTCCCTTAACATTATCTAAATTCAATTCCAAAGTGATGGCTTTCCTTTTCTTCAAAACATTGTCATCAGAAGAGGTCACATTACATTTAGGAGCCATAATTTCCACAAACACAACACAAATGAAAGTGAATGAATGCAGAACAATCCAATATGGAATACAACCAGGAATTGACCCATGCCTGCTTCCTTACTAGTGCTGTATGATGACTTATTCATTGCATCCAATAATTCAGATTCATAATACTTATAGTTTCACCTAAAAGCAAGGTGAGGGCCATTATAATTTTTTATTGATTACAATTATGAATCACAATTAAAATTCTCAGCTAGTTTAAGGAATAATTCCAAACTTTAATGCCTTAAGTTTTATTATTCTGGGTCGGAGATATGGTAAAATTATACCAATAGTCAAAGTTACATGAAATATCTAAAGGATAAATCAATCTCTTGGGCTCTTAGATTCATGCACAAAGATATTGAATAAAAATTAAGCATAGTACATTATTACCTCTAATGGTTGAGAATTTTAAGACATCAAAATAATTATTACCAAGTTAATATCACACTCAAATATTTAGTATTTGCATATTTAATACAAATAAATAGCATCTAGTCATGAAATAATTGGACATACTTATTTAAATGACTTCAATAACTAAATACAGGAAGTCCACAATTATGAGTAATATAGGTCATTTGCTTCCATTCTCTTTAAGGGGTAGTGGAGAAAGTGACACCACCCTTCACGCATTCAACTAGGCACTCTTGAGAGACATAAAATAGTCAAGACTCCATCATTTGAACAGTATTGCTCCTCTGATCAGGACACTCCCAAGAAAATAAATTTGGAAGGCTAGGAAAAAAAAAAAAATTCTAGCATCTGAGGAGGAAAAGTAGTACTAAAATGTTAATCTTGAGAACATAAAAATTAGCACTTGGAATGTTTTAAATTTTACAATATTTCTTCAACCATATGAACAAGAGGAATAAACATCATGGCTTCCTTTACTTAAGATTCTCATAAAAATAAAGATAAAAAGTTTAGCATTTATGAAATGAGAAGGCAAATTTATTCATCTGACATTAAAAATTAAACATTTAGAGTATGCAATCTATTGCATGTGGAAAACCATCCTAAATCTTTATAAAGCCAGGCTATAACAGACAAATAGTTACAAACAGTATAATTATAGCTTTTGGGAGGCACTCCTGAGTGCATTTAGTTAAAATGTAAACTCCTCTGTGCAACTGAATGTCATCAATAAATATATATGTTAGGGCTATTCTTATAACTTAATTATCCAGAACATTTGTAGTCTGTATTAGTTCAAAGCATAAAAGTAACTGTTAAAATTTTCCTGCAAATTGCATATGACAACTTGTTCAAGAACTTAAAAATACTAACACTGAAAATAATCTTGAATCAAGTTTCTAGTATGGTTATTAGATACATTCAATTAATAAAAACAGAAAAAAATTTACAAATAAATATGTCAAATGTCACTAATATACATTTTAAGAGGTATATTAAGTGTAATTACTATTAATCAGGTGACGATTTCATTGTTTAAATTGTACAAGCATTATTTCTTGTAATGCTTGCATAAATATTGCAGCCGAATCCAATATACAGGGTGCGATGGATAAATTGTCATTTAAATTACGCAATGAAAATAATACTAATATCTCATTTTAACAGATATATTTAAAAAAAAACAAAAAACTATTGGTTTCAACCATTGCCTCCAGACGACTTTGGAATCGCCTGCAACTCTTCTGGATGGTCTCATTGTTTAAGTTGGTGAATGCTGCCATAATCCTTGCCTTCAGTATTAAAGAAGTTTTGTTGGCCTCTCGCTCAACTGTGCTCCACACATAATCAAGGAGATGGCCAGATGTAAGGAGTGATGAGGCCGACAGCCATGACTGGGTTCTCATGCTTGTATAGCAAGGTGCAGAGATCTGTTGCCAGACATAGGGTCTTTCTAGCAAACCTTCTTGGCCCAAAGCACTTGATATAGGCCTTTCTGTTGAGTGAGGCCCTCACCAAAAAATTTGGGGTTCTTTTCTTATCAGAAAAAAAATCAGTGAGTTTTCCTAGCTGTTGTACTTTTGTAATCTCCATTAGGCTCATCAAACTCTTTCCAAATCCTCTGCCTGTTGCCCAAACACTGAAATGTTTGTATTGTAACATGAATGCCAAGAAGTACAGCATGCCATTTCCAAATTTCTGGCAGAGTGAATTGTGTCATGGTGCTCTTTCTCACAGACGGTGCCCAACTGACAAAATCAAAAACAAATGCACATCCATGAAATTAAAAATATATAATATGGCAACAATTTACCAATCACACCCTGGATTTAAAGGCTGTAAATAGGAGTTAATATTTATCACTATTTACATGCAGGTTACTATCTTCATCTTTGTTGCTGTTATCAGTGTTTCGGACATTGTACTCTCTGACCTTCATCAGGTGCTTGATGTTCTAGGTAAGTAGTAGATTGTTCCCACTCCACTGACATGTTTAGATAGATCTATTTCTCATTTATAACTTATTCAGTAAGGCTGGAAGAACATTGAAATCCATAATCAAGGGTGAAACAATGACTTGAGTGTAGTCATCAACATTTATGAAATGAAATAAAAATACTAGACAAAACACTGGAGAGCCAGATATCGAAGAGAAAAATCAGTACACATGATAGGCTATGAGGAACTCTTCAGTAAGACAAGCATAGCAATAAATATAATATTGGAGCTGTTAATAAAGTGAGAGAAAGGACAAAGGTAGTAGTAGAGAAAAAGAAACCTTGTTAATGCAGTCAAGTGTGACAAGCAGTATCAGCAGCAGGTAGATTATGTTTAAAGCTCCAAGTTGTAGACTAGTGATTGTCCTGCAGGACAATAACTTAGTGGATTAAAGTAGTGGTTCATGAATATTGATGACGTGGTAATTGTGAATTCAATCCTTGACCTGACTTGAGTGAGCAATAACTGAGCAGTATGAGATAGCTAGACATTATCAATGGAACAAGAATAATCTACCTTTATAGTTTAAAGAGTTCAGCTTGAAATTCCCTGGATTAATAAGCACCTGATGTAGGCCAGAGGCACTAAACCAAAATGTTATAAAGATGAGGAAAATAATTTACATGTCAATAACAACTATTCATATTATATATATATATATATAAATTAGACAAATTTTTATCACGGTTTTAAAGTATTTTTATAAAAATGAAAATCACAAATCCACTAGCAACATATTTAGATATAATTGGAGGATATTTTTATAGTTTAAAGTAATTTCTAAATATTTATATAGGTTTCTTGCTCTCAACCAATAAAATTGGCTGTTTAAAGAAATTCAAATTTCTAACAGTTATTAGTAGAGAGAGAAAAAGGAGGGAAGAAGAAAAAAACCCTTAGACTTGAAGACTCCCTTCAGTAGCAAATGCATATCCAGATCAGGTAGTTTTTAATATTTACCATCATATCCATGATGCAGCCTTCAAGAACTCCTTACTTTTGTTGCTGCGCAACTGATTGGTTCCCTCCTAAACAATACCCAGTTCTGCAAATTCAAGTTAAAACTAGAAGGCCATATCATTTGGAAAGTCCTGCTGGAATATTTATGGACTTTCTTGGATAACCCCTTAATCCAGAAATTGACCACTGTGTCCAATACCACAACGTTGGCAGTGACATTGACACTGTGGTACTACAGTGAAGTGCAGCAACATGACATTACACACAACACCCCAGACAACATGAACTTTATGTACATCATAACTGTATCTATAGGGTCTACACAGAGCCACTTGTCATTCCTCATTCACCATCTGATTGAAACTATTATCACTGGAGGCCAACCAGAACATTCTGAATTCCTCAGGGTGTTTGAGCTTATTCAGCATGTGCTCAGAGATAGGACAAGAACAGTGCATGTTCTTTAAAGACACTAGAACAAGGAACATGATATTCATGCTTAGAATGTTATCAGAAAGAGCAATACAAATGGACCTGTATCTATGTTTTATGGACTACACAAAAGCATTCAACAAAGGATCTGCTCAGCAACCTTGACATATTTGGGAAAGATATTAGAATCATCAAGAACCTATACTGGTGGCAGACAGCATACATGTGAATAGAAAGGTCATAAATCAAGGATGTGTCTTCTCACCAGACTTCAACCTATACAGAGAGACAATTCTGAGAGAATTGGAGATCCTACCAGGATTCAATATTGGCGGCCACAATCTTACCAACATAAGATACGCAGACAACACTACTGATAGCAGACATGGAAAAGAAACCACAAAACCTCCTACAGAAGGTAACGAAAAGAAGGGGGCTAACCATAAACTACAAAAAGACAGACTGCATGGTCTCAGTAAAAGGATGAGCCCGAAATGTGATTTGCAGGTTGGGAAGACCAAAAATCGAGCATGTGCAGAAGTTTAAAT